TGGCCTCCGCACCTTCAAGTTTCTCGTTCAGAATGTACCATAAGTCTTCTTCCATCTGAGTCTTGTCTCCTTCGGTAAACTCATATTCACCTTTGTTGTCGTCCTCGGTTTGCTTGGCTTGAATTGCCTTCAGGTACTCGCTTGCAGTTAATCGACCGTTCATTATGCGTATGATGTCATCATCGTCCTCTTCTGGTACAACTCCGTCAAGCGTCTCCAGCTTCTTGTTTAGCATTTTCAGTGCCAGTCGGTAACTCGGCTTCACTTGGGCTAGTGCGTTCAAGAATTTGTCGTTCCAGTCTCTGAACTTCGCCCTTTCCCCACTGAAGTTCTTTAGCGCCTGTAACGCTTTATATTCGCTTATCGGTTTACTGCTCCCGCGCTTGTTTCCGCTTCCTCCTTTGATTGCTTCCGAGATCTGACCGAACCTTTCGATCAACTTTTCTTGTACTTCACTGTTAGTCTCCAACTCGGTGACCCTTTCCACTAATCTGCGAGCATCTCTTTCGAGCGCAGCATTTCTCTTCGCGATCGCTAACAGCATACTGTTGGTCTTGTGGGCACTTTGTAACATTTGGAATGCTTCGGCGTTCGATACCTCCCTTCGGTCCTGTGCTACTCGCTCGTTGATGAACGTCGCGAGCCCAAAGTGGTTTGCGAGCAGCGCAGTTTGAACGTAACTGAAGTCTCCGTTCACGTATGCTTGCTCGCACAGGTCGTTGAATCGATTCGGATCCATGTTGACCCAAGCATCTCTGTCTGCCGGCACATTGAGATTAACTGGAGGGTCGCCCTGTCCAGGTCTTGCCGCAGCTGCCGCTGCCGCTGCCATGGCAACCGCGCTCCGCTACCATGCAAAACCCCGAGGAGGGTTCTGCACGGGAGCTTGGCGACAATGATAACGATAGGTCACCTTTATACTCCCGAACTGCGCAACTGGTCGATGTGACTTCGACCGTTAAACACTTGAGCCAAAGGCTGCGGGGTTGCTATACCTCCCCTGTCACACGCATGCTTGCATGTTAACACCACATCAACCTCCTCCTCCTCCTCCTCATCCTCCTCCTCGTCATCGTCCTCCTCCTCCTCCTCCGCCTCCCCCTCCTCCTCATGATCAGCATCATCACGATAGTTGACACCATCAGCACAGTAATCGTCGACCACCACACCATCAGCACCACAATCGTCGCACACATCATGATAAGTTTCATCACCCGCATCAGCAACAGCATTATCATCTTCATCATTGTCATCGTCGTCATAATCACCTCCACCATCCTCTTGATCCTCATCATCCTCATCATCATCAGCATCATTATCGTCATCAGCATCATCGGCATCACCATCACCATCACCATTGTCATCACCACCACCATCCTCACCATCACTTGTCATCCTCATTATGATCCTCGTCACCCCCTTTATCCAAGTCCTCCCCGTCATCCTCCACATCATCGTCATCACCATCATCCACACTACCATCGGATGTATACTCCTCGTCCCCATCCTCATCGTCACCACCATCACCATCATCATCCACATCCTAACCCACATCGCCATCATTGTAATCATCACCATTCTCGTAAGCATCATCACCATCGCACTCGTCATCGACCTTTCCTTAGCAGACTCGTCCTCATGAGCATCATAATCAGCATCAACATAAGCATCATCATCCTCATCACCATCATCATAAGCATCATCATCACCATCATCATCAGCCTCATCATCAGCATCAGCATTGTCATCATTGGCATCATTATCAGAATTACCATCGTCACCATCTACCTCATCATCGCCATCATCATCCACCTCCTCATCATATAACCATCATACTAATAATCATCGTAATCACAATCTGAATGATCATCATCACCATCACCATGGCCATCACGATCACCATCACCATCACCATCACCATCACCATCACCATCACCATCACCATCACCATCACCATCACCATCATCATCATCATCATCATCATCATCATCATCATCATCATCGTCGGCGCCATGATCGTCTCCATCATGTGAGCGATGAAAAATGCTTCCCGAAACTGCCCAAGATGGCCCGAAGACGACCCAACACGGTTCCAAGACGGCCCAAGATACCCCCAAGGCGGCTCCAAGGAGTGCCCAGGCGAGAGAACCCAACCGACATTTCGAGCCCTCGTCCCCGAGAGGCTCCCAGGAGGCCCCATGACGCCCCCAAGAGAACCACCCACAAGCTCCAGTGGGGCCCCCCAGCGGCCCCCAGGAAGCCACGAGAGGCTTCCAAAAAGCTCCGAATAAGCTCCCCAGAAACTCCCAAAAGGCCCACCGCAACTGACACGCAGAGGCCTCCGAGAGCGCTCGGGAAAGTCCCCAAACGGCATCCCTGAAGACTCTGACTCACGTCAGCGTCGTCGTCGCCGACGCCGCTGTCGTCGTCGTCGTTGCCCCCCTTCGATCCTCCAGCCTCGAACCTCCATCCTCGACCGCGCGCTCATTCCCCCGCCAGGAGGCTCCGAGAGGCCCCCAAGAGGCCCACCAGAGGAACCCAGAGGCCCCCAAGAGGCTCCCAGGAAACCACAAGAGGCTCCCATGGAGCTCCCAAGACGCTCCAAATATGCTCCCAACAAGGTATGGCTACCTACCTCATGTTATTCAGTGTCACATTCGTACCATGCCATTGTGAGGAGCGTTCTACGTGTTACACCAGTTACACAAGATCTAGGAACTCAAACGCCTGCGCGCGTTGGCAACTTTGTGGACGTTGTAACGGCTAGAAAGGTTACAAGTGCTGCAAAACTTGTAGGGGCTAGGAAGGTTCTACGGCTTTCAGGGGCTACAGGGGCCCAGAATCCTCGTCGTCGTCATTGTCGCGGTCGCCAGCCAGGATCCGGGAGGTTATAGAGGAAACCCCACCGTCGGAGTAATTGTCTTAATGAAATGTTTCTCGGAAGAGGGAGCGGTCACAAGGTCAAGTACACATTTCACTACGAAACACGCGGTGCTCGAGGGGATCCATCCCAGAGTGCCAGCGAGCAGACGATATGTCAGGGACCTCCACCCTGGCTGGACCAGCGAGACACACTGGAACCAGTCATGCAACGTCTTGCAGATGAAAAGCGGCCCTCTGGCCTCACCAACAAACATGGGGCTCGAGCACACGACACGCAGCATAAGCGTGTAGCATAATACATCGACGTGTCCGTGCCCCCATGTATTCACACATGGTATATGCATGCATGTATGTATATACCATGTATGAAAATATGCACGTGTAGCTACATATGAACATGTATATGCTTATGGATAGGTCTGTGAGATGTGAAAGTGCAAATGCATATGCCTATGACTCTGTATACGCATATGCATATGGCCATACAACTGTATATGTTCATGTATTCGTGTATGTATATGTATATGCGCATGAGAATGTGTATATATATATGTAATGATATATGTGCATGTCTATGTATATGCATGTGTATATGCATGTGTAATTGTACATGTAACTGTGCATGTTAATGTGCATGTGCATGTGCATGTAAATGTACACGTGAATGTACCTGCACATGTAAATGGTAAGGTACAATTCTTTTCGTGTGTTCCTATTAAGCATTTCCAGACAGACGACGCCGGCGCAGAACGTGACGTGACCGGCCCTTCCCCCCCTCGGCAACGCTCGCGAACGGCCAGTAATCAAAACAACGCCCTCCACCATCATCATCATAATCATCGTCATCATCATCATCACCACCATCATCAACAACATCATAATCACCATCATAACCACCATCATCATCATCATCATCATCGTCGTCATCATCGTTGTCATGATCCCAAACAGCGGCAACCGCTGACATCATCATCGCTATGGCCATCATCATCATCATCATCATCATCATCAGCAGCACAAGCAGCAGCAGCAGCAGCAACATCATCACCTTCGGCATCACCACCCTTATCGATCATCATCATCAGCATCACCACCATCAGCATTGTCATGTTCAGCATCATCAGCATTATACGCATCATCATCGGCATCGGCGACATCATCACCACCATCAAACATCATCAGAAGCATCGTCAACATCATCAGCACCATCATCATCAGCATCAGCATTATCATCATCAGAAGCCTCCTGCTCCTCCTGATCATCATCATCAGCAACACGAAACTCGCCACTATCATTGTCACCAGCAGCATCCTAATCAGCAGAAGCGTGTATCATTATTCCTCATCGTCATCAACATCATGCTCAACATCATCCTCATCCCCATCATCAGCATCATCGCCATCACCGTCATCATGCTCATCACCACACCATCGCCATCACCATCAGCATCACCACCACTATCACCATCACCAACCTCCTCCTCCTCCTCCGCCTCTACCTCCTGATCGGCAAGGAGCTCTCCTCCTCCCCTGCACATCCCGGCCGAGGCCGCCTCCTGCCGGGGCAAGCTACCCCTGCCCGGCAGGTGCCCGGCCACCCTCGCGCCGACCCCTTTTGTGCGGTCGCCTTCGCGCCCTGCCGCCCCCATGAGACTACAGAGCAACGAACGTATCGGCCTAAGTGGCCGATAGTCAGCGGCGAAATCAAAAAACTAATGTCGTCGGAGACCTCGCTCGCCACCACTCGGGTGTCCTTTCCTTGTGCATTTCTCGGTTCTGTGCGCGCATCTTTCCCCAAGATGGCCCAAGATGCTCCTCGATGGTTCTTGACGAGAAAAAGTATGAGCATCGTTTTACCGATCCCCATCCCCACCAGCGTGGGCTGGGCCCCACTGGCCAATTCAATGCCCTAGATGCGGGTATAGGCCGACTCCTTCGGGTTTCGAAGGGCATATCCCCAACTAGGGTGCTGAGATGTTGGGGGTCTGCATGGAGAGGGGGATGGGGATGGGGATCGGTTCAGCGATACTGAAGGTACACACGCCCGAGCGACGCCGAGAGACGTGGGCACCCCGTGGTGGGCAGGCCGGGCGCATTGCTCCCCCCCGAGAGCGGGCCCACCGCGCCTCGGGCGGCGGCGTTTCCTCGGGCTCCCGGCCGGCCCCGGGGCGGGGGCGCGCGGGGGCCTGTCGGGGGCTGCTTGAGCTGCTGTGTTAGGCCCTCGCGAGCGGCGAACGTGTCCCAAGACATGCTGGCGTCGTAAAAAGTCATAACGGGAGGTCTCTAACTATGTTCGACCCTCGGGGGCCCTCGCTGGGCCCAAGGACCGTCAAAAAACGACTCAGGATGGAAAACCGGCCCCGGGGAAAGGGTCGGGACGTCCAGGGACGCCGTCCTGAAACAATCAGGACGTCGCATGTCTGGGTCCATGTCCACGCGCTCGCGATCCGAATTCTGGGGAGCGACCCCGTGCATGCGCGGTCGCAGGGGTGCGCTCCGCGCGGGGCATCCGGTGGACAAGCTCCCCGCATCCAGGGGGTCGCAGCCCAGAGGCCCAGCCCGCGACGCAGTGGACATGGATATGGCCCACGCCCACGAGAGACGGCCAGCTCAGCGGCCCGAGCTGCGACGCGCGAAGCGCGATCATCTTCGCGCCTCTCAGGGTGACGTAGCAATTCCACCCAGTGCCCTCCGCACACGCTCATCAGAGCGAGGGGGCCGAGTGAAGTGAGAATCCGTGGTGAGGATTCTGCTTGTTGCGTTGTTGTTCGTTGTCCTCGTCCCCCCCGCGACCTACCCCGCGACCCACCCCGCGACCCACCCCGCGACCCACCCCGCGACCCACCCCGCGACCCGCCCCGCGACCCTCCCCTGGACCCAACCCGCGACCCACCCGCGACCCACCCCGCGACCCACCCCGCGACCCACCCCGCGACCCACCCCGCGACCCACCCCGCGACCCACCCGCGACCCACCCCGCGACCCACCCGCGACCCACCCGCGACCCACCCGCGACCCACCCGCGACCCACTCGCGACCGATCCATATTGGTTTGAAGGACAAATCGGCGGATAAAACGTGAAACTTTGGCGCCTGCGGCGGGCTTCTCCAGAGTCTCGCAAACTGCCGACGTCCCCACCGCCTCCTCACTCTTGTCTGCATCTGCGGGGTGCTACGTATTTCCTCGAGCCCTACACCGTTCCCCCGGCATGGGCGCCTTTGTTGTGGACTCTGCCTGGGATCACCTGAGGACGCCCTTAGGACAACGGGAAGAACGCAAAGCAAGGTGATACCCCCCAACATTCCCGCACAGACATCGAACACCTAGAAGGCCGTGGAATGCGCACCCACCCCTGCCCTGCAAACAAGTGGGGCGCGACAATGTGGGCCGGGTGCTGCGCAGATTTTCGGCGCCAGGACGTGCGTTGCCTTTGCAGAGCCGCTGATAGCGTACCCCTATGTGACGTGACGACCCTAACTTGCCGACAGCACCTGTGGCAACTGGTGAGACCTGGGTACGCCTGGGCAACATCGAACCTCAAGCACTGGGCGGCGAAACATCACCTCTGCAAAGGCGCCCTCCTGAATACCGTGTTTCTCCAGACCTGGCTTGCGGGCGTCGGCATCAAAAGGAACTACCAACTTGCAAATGCATTCATCTAACTGTCATGCCCATGCAGGGGGCCAAACTCCGCATTGCAACACACGCCCACACGTCTGCAACATGTGACCGATCGACGCACTTACCCCCCGAAAAAGCAGAAGGAGCGCATTACACTGGCATTGTCGGCTCAGCTAGCTTTGAACCCACAAACATCAGTGCGCCATGCCACGCCGAACTTGATGGACTACTCGTGCTCTCGACTGGCATGCGATGTCCAATATTTGCCCCACGATGGCTCCCCTAGACGGGCGGCGTGGCCGATCTGAGTCTCCGCCTGAACGCATGCGCCCGTCCCCCCTCTCTGTCTTCGGTGGCGCCCAATATTTAACCGACTCAGGATACGCATAGAGAGTTGGAGGAACAAAGAACTATGCACATACACCGAGCTTGGCCAGGTCTATCCTGAGCCCAGGAGCGGTGCATACGCCATCCTGCCTTGGCCAGGAAGGCACGTGCACCGATCCCTGGGCCAAGGATGGGCCTGACCAGGAACGGTGCGTGCGCATAATTGTCTTCGCCCGAGGAGTGCCGCTGGCCTTGACGGCCACATGCCCCAACAGTCGAACAAAAAACACAACAACAACACCAACAACAACAACAACAACAACAACACCACCACCACCACCACCACCAACAACAACAACACCAACAACAACAACAACAACAATCACTTTACCCGAACGCTCAGTGTTCTCACCAGTGCCAGGGTTTTCATGCGACGCCAGCCAATACCCCCACTTTGTGGGGGGGCAGTGCAAGCTCTACCAAATATCCACACGACTCTTCGCCACCACCCACACCCAGCTTCCCGCCCTATGACGTTCGGACACTTCACTTCGTGGCCTGCGGACGACCGTGGCTACTACACTGGCGTGGAGTACACACCCACAGAAGTTGTTAAGCCTACGTTCGTACACCCACAGAAGTTGTTAAGCCTTGTTAACCCACAGAAGTTGTTAAGCCTTCCACAGAACATCTGTTGCATATGATGCATATGGTACATGATACACATGATACACATGATACGTACTCACAAGATAGTTGATCACATCTTTAGGGCAAATTCCTGAGGGATGTGGGAATACACAAGAGAGAGAGGATATGGTTGTCCCGATGGTTGTCTCGATGGTTGTCCCGATGGTTGTCCTGATGGTTGTGGTTGTCCCGATCGTTGTCCCGATGATTGTCCCGATGGTTGTCCTGATGGTTGTGCTTGTCCCGATCGTTGTCCCGATGACTGTCCCGATGATTGTCCCGATGGTTGTCCCGATGGTTGTTCCGATGGTTGTCCCGATGGTTGTCCCGATGGTTGTGAGCGATGCCGGATCCTCACGCCCCCCGCCGGAGGAGGAGGAGGAGGAGGAGCAGGACAAGGAGGAAAGGAGAGAAGAGAGAACAGAAGGAGGGGCGGGAACGGCGCTTGCACGCCCACCCACCGTCTTTTCCCCGCCGCGGCTGAAAAGTCGTGCAGGTGTTTTTCGAGGACCTACGGTGCGATTCGTGTGATTTTATGATGCGCGGTGCTAAAATTCTTAAGAAGCCCAATGGTTTTTGGAGATTTCGGCGTGCGCGCGCGAAGAAAAAACGAATGTGTCCCGCATGGTATTATTTGACAGGGATGATGGCCCTGGCAGGTGCGCAACCGTTGTCGCAGAAGTTCGAAAAAGTTGCTCGCAAAAGCCCGTTTGACAGAAATGTTTAAAAAGTGTTGGGTTTCCTACGAATCCGCAAGAGCGCGCGGGATGAGATTTTGACAATTTTTTGTTGAAAAACCATTGGTTTTTTGATGTTTTTATGTTAAAATCGCTGCGAACACTAAGGTTTTGGAAGGATTTCGTCTTGCGCGCGCGAATGTCCACTTTACCTTATTTTTTGCAAGGGATTCTTGAAATTTGATTATATTAGAACAAGAAATGTCATTTTCTATTGTTTTTTGCAAGGGAAAGCGGATTACAACAAAACAACCGGATCCTGTACACACCCTCTTTTCTGAGGCTTCCTCACGAAAATGATGAAAATGTAGCTGCGGCCTAGGCGGCGCAGGGGGGGCGCGCACCAGGGGGCCCAACAATAATTATTCTTTAGAATAAATAATGTTCAACGAGAACAATAATAATCACAATAGCAAAAACAGTAACAATATCAATAACAAGAACAGTAACAAGAACAAGGAAAAGGCGTGCGTGAGAGCCCCGTGCGCTCTAGCCGTCCGGACCCGCCCTCGCCTTATTGCGAAGGCTGCGCTCAGAGCCCCGTGGACGCATTCTGACCCCCCCCCCCCAGCAACAGCAACAGCAACAGCAACCAGCAACCCCCCCCCAAAAAAAACTGGAACTCCATTGGGCTCCCGTACGGACCGCCGAAGGCCACAGCGGCTGCGCCCATTTCGGCACACCCTTCACGAAGATCGTGGCCCCCAATCGGGTACCTCCGCCGAAAACTCAAGCGGCTGCGCCCATTTCGACACACCCCTCACGTGGATCGTGGCCCGCCATCGGGGAGCTCCGCCGAAGGCCCCAGCGGCTGCGCCCATTTCGGCACACCCCTCACGTGGATCGTGGCCCCCCCTCGGAGAGCTCCGCCGAAGGCCCCAGCGGCTTCGCAAATTCGGCACACCCCTCACGTGGATCGTGGCCCCCAATCGGGGAGCTCCGCCGAAGGCCCCAGCGGCTGCGTCAATTTCGGCACACCCCTCACGAGGATCGTGGCCCCCCTCGGGGAGCTCCGATGGAGGCCTATAGAATTCAGATAGAGGCCTATAGAATTCCTATGGAGGCGTATAGAATTTCGATGGAGGCCTATATAGAAGTCGTATGGAGGGCTATGGAATTCCGATAGAGGCCTATAGAATTCCTACGGAGGCCTATAAAATTCACATGGGGGCCTGTAGAATTTCTATGGAGGCCTATAAAATTCCGATGGGTGCCTATAGAGTTCCGGTGGAGGCCTATAGAATTCCGATGGAGGCCTATATAGAATTCGCACGGAGGGCCTATAGAATCCCGATGGAGGCCCAAATAGAATTCCCATGGCGGCCTATAGAGTTCCTATGGGGGCCTATAGAATCCCACCAGCCCTTTGGGCGTGAGTGGTTTAGCGAGCTTTCTCTGTCCTCAACCCCCCAACCCCCCTTCTTCCCCTTCGGGGAGGGGTTTACCCCTCCCCCTCCCCCCTCCCCCTGGGCCTGGAGAGGGAGTCCGGCGGGTGGTCAGGGGGGTCTTCTTCGACGCCTGGGAGGGCCAAAAAACGACGACCCTCACGAGGATTCTGGCCCCGACGGGGGGGCGCACTTAAGTCCCTCTCCTCTTCTGTGAAGCCAAAATCATTGATTTTACTATGGTTTCGGCCCCATTTTGGCCTTCTGAAGGGGCAGCGCTCCCCTTCCTTCTTCTCAAAATCATTGATTTTACGAAGGTTTTGGGCTCATTTTGTCCTTCTCGGGGGGTAGCGCTCATTTGCGCTTCTGCCGAGGTCGCAAGA